AGCTCAGTCGTCATCTTATTTCTATCAAGGCTGTCAACTGATTGGGTAAAGGACATGACTCACATTGTAAATGATGAACTTGGCCAGGTGCGGTGGCTCACACCTGTAATCCCAGCAATTTGGGAGGCTGAGGTGGGTGGATCACTTGAGCTCAGGAATTGGAGACCAGCTTGGGCAACATGGCAAAACCCAGTCTCTACAAAAAATAAAATAAAATAATTAGCCACATGTGGGGCTGTACACCTGTGGTCCCAGCTACTCAGGAGGCGGAGGTGGGTGGATTGTTTGAGCCTAGGAGGTTGAGGCTGCAGTGAGCCAAGGTTGCACTCCCACACTCCAGCCTGAGTAACAGAGCAAGACCCTGTCTCAAAGCAAAAACAAAAAACAACAACAACAACAAAAACGCAAAAAACAGATGAAGGCTAATCAAAGTCTGCTGCTTTAAATGTGAATCCCATCTTTAAAAATACCGTCATGGACACATCTAGATTTCTGTTTGAGTGTATGACTGGGTTCTGTGGCCTACCTAATTTGACACACAAAATGAACTGTCATATGGAAAGATTTGAGGCAGCTCTGCCTTCTCTTTGGGTCCTCAGGAGGAGGGTTATGGGTGTCCCCATCCTGCCTGGGTCCCCTCTTCCACACTGTCCTCGCACATGACCCAAGCACAGGCCCCTGAGGCCCTTGCAGGCCTACCCTCCCAGCTCTGCCCACCCCAGGGTGGACCCTGCCCTGTGCTCACGCGTCTCTGCATCTACCCGTGCTGGTCCAGCCTCCTGCAGGGGCTCAGCCCCCAGGACAGAAACCACCATCTCCTGCCCCGGAAGATACAACACTAGACACAATGGTGTGATTTTGTCACATCAGCGCCGGGGGTGTCTCATTAGAAACCCAGATCCATTAAAACCACCACACACCTCAGACCCAGGCTCTCTCCTTTGTTCCACATCACCCTTCCTCAGCAGCTGCTGGCTCCCACCTGGGGAGAAGCCGAACATCACCGTCCAGCACAGCACACAGGCCGTCCTCCTCTGGGACCCAGGCCTGGGGAATGAAGTTCCACCTCCTTGAGCACCCACAGCCACTCTCCTCCCCAAGCAGTGCTGACTGTAGAGACTTTGCGTTTTCCCCAGAGTTTCCTCATTTGACCAAGTGAGTTGGAAGCTGGGCTCCGTACATCTTCCCCCACACACAGAGTGCAGGGGCAGCCAGGGCTTTGTCCTCAGTTGTATTTAGAATTTGGGATTCCTACAATCAGTGACTCTCTCCTTTTTGCAATTTCTCCCTCATTTACCAACCTCTCTGCCAGCCACAAACTTTTACCTCAAGTGAGTTAAGCTCCAGACAAAATGAGCAGGGCCCCAGCCCTCTCCTATCTCTGTCATCAATACTTTTTAGGTTCCTGTTTCCAGGCTGGGCAGTTAGAAGTAGGCTCGGCGGTCCCACCGGCTGCCCTGGGGTCTCGGGACAGGGGCTGGGGGGTCTCACATGTTGCCCTTCCTGTGTCGCAGCAGCACACACTGCCGCCATCCCAGTAGTGTCCTGTGGCTGGCTGGCCCCACCTCCCAACGGACAAAAGAAGGGCAACAGGTACCTGGCAGGTTCCACCATCTACTTCCACTGTGACAACGGCTACAGCCTGGCCAGGGCAGAGACCAGCACCTGCCAGGCTGATGGCACCTGGTCCTCACCCACCCCGGAGTGCCAGCCAGGTGAGGACACCCTGCTCATATACCTGCCTGCACCTGTCCCCACTCACCACCCCAGAGGGCCCCTCGCTGACACTCGCTTCCCCACCAGTTCGCAGCTACACGGTGTTTTTGGGCATCATCTTTGCAGGCCTTGCGGTGGTGGCGGCGGTTGCACCCAGGGGCTGTGGGTGAGGGCACCTGCAGGGGAAGGGAGGGCGTCCCCAGGGCCAATTCTGTTGACCATGACCCTCCACCACCCCTGCCTTGCTTGTGGTGGAACCCCCAGCGGCGCCTGAGGTGCAGCCCCTGCGGTGAACCCCCCATGCTGAGATGCACGTGTGGGTCCCTCTGGCCTTGGCTGCAGCAGCCACACCTGCCTGGGCACGTCCCGAGGGTCCTTGTACCCTCAGTGCTGACAGGCCCCTCCCAGGTCCCCACCCATCCCAACCAGGAATCTTTTCATTCGCTCAGTTCCCTGAAGCAAGGGGTTCGGATGCTGGCGCTACCGCTTGCCAGGGACATCCTTAACCGTGCAGGGCTGGCGACCTTGCAGTGGCTTTTGAGGACTGAGGGAGTGACAGGAGCACAAGAGTGGCTCTGTGCAGGCCAGCGGTGAACGTTACCGGGTGAGTTCCCTCCAGATGGCTCCCGGGATGCTCTGTAGGGAGGACATGTCCCCCCATCCTGGCCTCTTGGCTTTTGACCAGGTGGGTATGATGTGGGCACCTTGGTGGGTGTGAAGGCCTGAGGTCGGACCGCCCAGGCCTCTAGCCAGGGCTGGGAGAGGCGTGAAGGCCCAGGGCTTCCCCTCAGTCTCCCCGCAGGAATGGGGAGGAGGTGAGGGCAGCCCGAAGCCTCACGTGGCTGGACTACTCACCCTTCAGGTCCATCCAGCTCTGCTCGGCGAAGCTCAGCACCTCCTGGTTCAGCAGCACCTCCAGACCTCTGGTCCCGTTGGCCAGCCTGACCTCCACCACGTCTGAGTTGCCCTCCTGGACGGCCATTGCAGTCAGCCCTGTGCCACGGGTCTGTGTGCCTGTGGTGGTGGGAGCGGAACGGGCGCCACTTGGCTCCAGCCTCCCACCTTGGATCTACCCTGTGCCACCCAGAGCAGCCCCTAGCCCTGGCCTCACCATTGGACATCCTCCCTGGCTGGGCCCGCGCCTGCACCCTCAGATCAGTCAGCACTGCCTCTAGCAGCACGTACTCTCCGCGCCCATTGAATGTGAAGTTGGTGCCGTCAAAGGTCACAAAGTGTGGGTCTCCGAAGGCGGAGGCTGGGGTGAGAGTGGAGGGTCAGGTGGGGTGCACCCCAGCCCAGCCCGATCTTTCCCAGGGTCCGGGGCACAGGATGGCACCCACCTAGTCGCGGGGGCTGGTAGTTGCGGCAGTCATTGGAGGGCCGCCGTTGCATGTAGCGGGCGCAGTCGGGTGCCCAGAGGCAGCAATAATAGAAGCTGAGGACATCGTAGAGCCAGTGGGACATGCCGGGCACTCGGGGTGGCGTGCGGAACGGGGGTGCGCCCCAGTCATGGCCGCGGTCGGGAGTGCTGCCGCTGCTGGAGTCAGCCATCAGGAGCTGCGTCCCGTCCGCTGTGTAGCAGCACTGCTGACCCGAGCTGTACCGAGGGCTGCGGGAGCCAGTGGGTCACGGCCAGGCCACTGTTGGGAGCCCACCCCTGTCCCCAGTCCCCACCCCGGCCCCAGCCTGGGGGCTCACCTGGCCTGCACAGAGCGCACACAGTGCACGGCCCCAGGGTGGTAGGTGCACACACTGCCCTGCTCCATGTCACAGCCGTAGTCCGTCTGCAGAGCAGCAGGTGGCTGTCACCCAGTGGCCTCCGGTTCTGTCATCCCCTTCCCGAGGCCAACTCTGCAGGTGCCCTGAGACCCCCGCCCCACCCTCCAGGACACCTCTATCTGCCTCCCCTGGTGCTGTCCTCAGTGGGGAGGCGACACCCTCATCCCCTCTCCTGGGCCCTGATTGGAGGCTCACGAAGAAGCGGCCGGAGTCCGCCCGGGCCTGGGTCAGGGTGCAGGGGCAGTCCGGCAGCTCCTCCAGGAAACTGGGCAGCTGATCCTCCAGCTCCTCCCAGGCCTGGCACTAAGTGCGTGCCCAGGCCACAGGGTCCTCTCGGAAGTCATTGCTCAGGTGCCAGGCCAGCGCGTGGTCATTGGTCCAGAGCGCCTGCACGTCCCTGTGGAGACAATGATGCTGGAGCTGGGGCCAGGCCACACCACCCCATGGTCGCCCACTCTCCGCACCCCCAACCCAGGCTGCGCAGGCAAGCACGATGGGCCGCAGGCAGCCGGGCCCTCCGCCCATCACCCGTGCCTCCATGCCTTCTTTCTTCTGCCCCGCGTAATTTTTTTTTTTTTTTTTTAAGACAGAGTCTTGCTCTCTCAGCCAGGCTGGAGTGCAGAGACATGATCTCAGCTCACTGCAACCTCTGCCTCCGGGCTCAAGCAATTCCCCTGCCTCAGCCTCCTGAGTAGCTGGGATTACAGGCATGTGCCACCAGGTCCAGCTAATTTTTGTATTTTTAGTAGAGACAGGGTTTCACCATGTTGGCCAGGCTGGTCTTGAACTCCTGACCTCAGGTAATCCACCCGCCTGGGCCTCCCAAAGTGCTGGGATTATAGGTGTGAGCCACCATGCCCAGCCTGCCCCGTGTAATTTTTGCTCTCCTGAGAAACCTCTCCTGAGGTGGTTACGTGGAGTGCCTGGGGCTCGTGTCCCTGCATAGCCCAGGGTTGTCATCATCCTCAGTCCCACAGCTCTGGCCCCCAGTGAGGACTCTGCAAGGGGTGCTGGTGTGGGGTATGAGCCACCTGAACGCCTTTTCTCCACCTCACAGGGGTCAGCAGCACCCGGCGAACAGCAGCAGGAGGAGCTGCGAGAGCAGTCACTCATGGACAGAGCTGCACTTGGGCATCTCCTGCCACCACCCCCTCCCCAGGGGAGCCCAAGGTAGGGGAGGTTTGGCGTGGAATGAAACGGGAGTGAGGGACACAAAGAGGTGGGAAGTGGGAGGGCTCCAGCCCCACCAAGTATGCAGAGACTCCCTCATTGTCCTGGACACCACAGGGCCACCTGCAGGTCCTCTGTGCATGGGCCTGGGAGGCAGACCTGCCCTAAGGGTGATGTGGAGACTACAGGTGCCACATGAACCAGCACCCACTCTAGCCATCAGCCTGCAGGTTGACTAAGGGTCAGGCCAGGTTTGAACCCATGCTTGACTGGGCCAGGACCCGTGGCTAGAGCACCTGGGCGCTCCTTCAGTCCTGGTCTGCAGGAAGGAGGACAGCAGACTTTAGGACCCCACAGCACGGCAGTGCTGACCATTTCACCCTCTTGGTCTCCTTGAGGAATAGGGACGGGGAGCCCTCTGGGGATGGGCGAGGTCTTCCAGGACAGGCTTGATTTTGGTCCTGTTTTCTGAGGTTGGGTTAAAACACCGACCATGGCAGAGGGGGCACAGCTCAGGTTCCCACACATCACTTTTCACAGCCTCCAAGGGCAGCAGTGCATGTGGAGGAGACGTCTCCCATGAGGCCAAGGCCTCCAGTGCTCACCGATGCCCTCGGCGAAGTTGGGGTAGAACTCGTCGGTGAAGAGGGGCTCGGGCAGCTCACGGAAGTACAGCTTCAGCGTCCCTGCGATGGCGTTCACGTCCATCTCGCTCATCATCACCGACACGTCCTTGTTATCTGGAAAGAGCATGGAAATGCAGCGGCCTCCTTCAGGATCCCAAGTGAGTCTCCCACCATCCCAGGCTTGGCTAAAGCACCGTCCCTGCCATGTTGACCACTGTGCGGGTCCCTCCCCGGCTTTAAGCAGCTCATCTGACCCCTCCCAAGAGCTGTGTGTGGTTCTGTGTCTGCAGAGTTGATGGGGGTGCATGGGCATTCCCATTCCTCTCCCCTGCTTGGCCCGATGTGATGGCCAGGAGGAGGCCAGCACAGCAGGACACAGTGCCTGCGTGGGAATCGGGTGACTCTGCCCTGTACATAGCAACCAACCCTGCACCAGTGTCTTCTGATGGCAGGAAGGCTGTGGGAGAATCTGATTGGTTTCAGTGTTTGAATCAATGTCTTCCTTTGGACCCAATGGGCCACTGGTGCTTGCGTCCTCACCGCAGGCCAGGTCTATTCTGGGCCCCCAGAGGGAAATTACCACAGGGCCCACCCAGGGGTGATAGGCATTCTAGGGGTCCTGGTCAGGGTCAGTGGTGTGTGCCCCAAAGAAGGGTCTGCAGGCACAAAATCCTGTTGCTTTGAAGATGCTGGAAAGGACCCTCTGGGGCCTCTGTGTCCTCCTCTGGCACTTGAGGCAGGTCCATGTCTTTCATAGCCTGAGAGAGTTGGTGAAATGGAGGCAGAGATGCTGCAGCCCCAGCCTGAGCTGGGTCCCATCAGTGTCCTCTGCCCACCGCATCGTCACACAGGGCAGTGGACAGACTGCACTGAGTCCTGGGCTTCCACCTCCTGTCCACCCCCAAGGCAGGAAGGCCAAGGCCCCACAGAAGCCCCTGGTTCACCCCAGCAAGTGGCATGCATGGCTAGGATGGTTTAAAAACTGGCTTCTACAGAAGCTATTTCTATAATTCTTGTCTTCTCTTTTTTAAAAATAGTAACACTGTAAATGAAGAAAAGACACAGAGAAGAATGTGACATGCCCGGACCATGGAGCACTCTGAGATCTCATCGCGGACACCGCCTCCCACACCTCCATCCTGTCCTCCCCAGGCCACCACTGACTGACGTCGAAGGCTGCCTTCAGTGCCTGGATGTCCGTGGCCACTCCGGACACGCGGTAGATGCCCACCTCCTCCATGCCTCGGCGCTTGAGCTCCTCCACGCACTGGCGTACGATGTAGGGCACCTCGGACCTCTGTCTCCTGCGGGAGGAGGAAATGTTCTCAGTGTCCTGGCAGCCCTGCGTGGGCCACACACAGGAGACCTGCTCTATGGAGGTGGAGTGAGGATGATGGTTAAGGTGACTAGGTGTGGGGCTGCACAGAGAACCTTCTGCATGCCTGTGCTCCCTCTGCAAGCTCAGTCCTCATTGCATGTACTGTCTCAGGACCTTTCAAGCAGCCAGAACCCCTGCAAGTCACACATGATCTTTGTGGGAAGGTCAGGAGGCCTGTCTAAGTAAAGTCAGCACAGAAAGGGCATCTGACAGATTCCAGGCCTGGGGTTAGCAGCCTGTGTCCCCAGCTGGGAGATCAGACCCGGTGTTGGTCCTGCCACCCGCGTGCTGTGTGAGAAGAGAATCCCTGACCCCTGCCCTGGGCCTGGGCCTTAACACACATCCAATGAATGAATGAAGGGTTGCCTCAGCACCAGCGCTCTAAGTCCTGCGCTGCTAAGTGCTTTACTCCTCTGAGTCCTAGCACTGAACAATTCCAATACCGCCACACAGGACACTAGAGTAAGAATACTTCAAAGTTAGAACAGAGCGCTGTGCTGAGGCCTTAACTTTAGCTTTGTTTTGCAACTGGGTTTAGGAGCACATCAAAGCCGCTTCTCAAGCCACCCTCATTAGCAGTGGTTATTTGGGGGGGCTGCTGCTGGAGTCCTCGCTGCTCATGCCCAGAGCCCTCCCAGAGTGCTACGCAAGTGGCTGCCGTGCAGTTGGGGGTGAGTGTGCTGTTTAGACACAGAAAGGAGTCCGGGGTATGATTGATGGAGGCCCCGGCCCACATGACCAGCAAGTTCAGGGGCCCAGCCGGATTCCAACCTGGGGAAGCAAATGAATTCTCAGAGGAAGTGGTCTGTGTCTGCAAGAACTGCTCTCAAACCCAACAGGCTTCTCTTGGCAACTGACTTGTGACAAAGGGGCAGGGGTTATGGCCATTCAACAGGAACCTGGGACCATGACAAATTCCAAGCGAGGGCAGAAAACTGCACTCGGGCAGTTCCTGGAGCCAGCCCTACTGCTTCCAAGCAAGGTGGCAAGGACATTCCTGAGCTGGTGTTGAGTAAACACAGGAGGTAGCTAAACACACCAAGTGTTCCCTGGGGCCTGACCTCACCACGAAGTGGCCACACAGAGAGAGGAGAGACCCACACATGCTCTTCTCTGCAGAAACAGCTGAAGGGACATGCACCCTCAGTGCATGAGCCCAAGCCCCTCCCCACTCACTTGGTGACCACAGCAATCTCAGCTCCGAAGACCCCTGTTTTCATGATGGCATCCTCTTCAAGTTGAACTCTCTGCTGTTGAACTTGACCAAGAGCTTTACTTCAATCTATAGAGGGGAGAAAGGGCATAGTCCACTAATCTTTCTGGCCCTCATAGCCCAAGGTCTCAAGGGCCCCTTGGAGTCTCATCAAATATTTCCACTCTGAAGGCATGCAGAGGTCTCAGCATGAGGTAGGGCTGCCCCTCAGGGAATCCCCTAGTCTACCTCAGCAAGAGCCAGGATTGTTGAAGATGGTGTAAAGGACTGGCTTCTGCAGAACCACCTCCTAAAATCCCCGCTGCTTCTCTTGGTTGCTTACTTTTTTTAAAATATGGGATCTTGCAATGTTGCCCAGGCTGTACTCGAACTCTTGGGCTCCAGTGATTCTCCTGGCTCAGCCACTAGAGTAGCTCAGACCATAGGTGTACTGTGCCCACTCTCTCTTTCTTAATAACAATTAAAAATTAAGTAGGAAAGACAGAATAGTATAAGAAAAAGCCAAGAATCATCAAATATTAACATTTTACCATATATGCCCAGGCCTTTTTGGGTGTGTCATTGCTTTTAAGGTGTAAACCTTTCTGGGGTACCTAAAGACAAATCAGAGGTCTCCATTTCTACATGCAGTCCCCAGGTCACCGAGTGGAGGCCCCACCTGTCCTGGTGGTGCCATGAGACCTTTGTTTGAGGAGGGATGCTCAGGGCCTGGCTGGCAACTGCATCCCAGTCAGTGTGACGATTCCCGGGCACGGCGATTCTGCTCTTCGGGGAACCTCCCTCCTCCAACCAGGCTCCGTGTCAGACGCTGGCTCAGGCTCAGCCACCTCTGACCGATTTGAAATGAATAGAGGCCACCCTACCCTTCTGGGGGATGTGGGCACCAGAAAAGTCCCAGGGACACATACCCCATTCATGGTGATGACAGCATACTGTCAGTCTCTGTCCTGCAGGGCCTGTGGGTCCAGCTGAAAGCAAGGAGTCATGATTGGCAGAGGCCCTGGGGTCTGTTCAGAGGCTGCACGGGGCAGCAGCCCACACCCGCCACTTCTCCAGTCCTTAGTCAGAGGCAGAGCCTGACTGTGGCCAGCATCTCCACCCAGAGGCCAAAAGAGGTAGAGTAAGGAGGGGCCTGCCAGACACCCCTGGAACCCAGGGCCCCACTGCTCCCAGAGCCCTGCTGCCTGGGGCTCCCACCCCCTCCTCCCTCTGCCCCTCCCAGTTGGGAGCTGATGCACAGGCTGGCAGACTCTCTCCACCCGGCTCCCATCACCACGGGTGCTATGTGGAGCTCAGTGAAGGGCGAGTTGTCCAGCAGCAACTTCAGTAACAACTCCTGGGGGCCTGGTATCCACTGCTGCTGTCTGGGGAACTGTGGACGCTGTTCTCCCCCTGCACCATGAACAGCTTGTGGCAGGAGCCTGCAGGCCACACCAGTCCCGTGGTTCAGAATCAGGCCCAGGATGACCCAGAGCCAAGCCCTAAATCAAGCAGCTGGTGAGGCGGCCGGGAGGAAGCCCCTCTGTGACCCCTCTTCTACCCCCACCCAGCCCTGTCCAGGCAGCTAGCCTGCAGGAACTTGTCCTTAATGTCACCTGAACACAGTCTGTGCTGGTACGAAATACCCTGTCATGACCAAGCCACACGTCCCCCGTCCGTGAAGGCTCTGTCTTCTGTTTTATGGGGAGCACCAGCTCTGTGTCAGCAGTTCCTGGGTACACAGAGACCACTGGCTGGGCTGGGTGAATGAGCAGTACCATCGTGTTAAAAATACACCTTCCTGGGCTCCACCTGTAGAAAACTGGACTCATAATCTGGGTGGGACCTGGGATTTGCACAACTAGAAACCCCAGGTAGTTCTGGAGTGAAGCCAGGTCACGGAGCCACCATCTGACTCCAGACAAGGCCACTGCATCTGGCCTTGTGTTTCCTTGATGCAGGTGATGGTTCATTTCAGCCACAAGGCAAGCTGCCTAAGAGCAGGGACCACACCTCATGATGCCTGCACACATTCACGTGCGTGCACACATACACACATACGACGGTGCTGAGCACAGCACCAGGCCTAGAGAGGAGCTGAGGACAGGCGGTATGTTCACTGCAAGGGACCCTAGAGACCACAGCCACCTGGGCCTTCTGCAGGTGAAGTGGCTAGAAAATAAGAAGTTCTGGAGCAGGTCAAGGAGCCCAACCAGCTGCCCCTACTTCACAGATGTGTGCACCTGGGCCTCCCTCCCTGCACCTGCTCAGCACAAAGGCTCACCACAGGCACACCTGGGGCGTGACCCCTCCTCACCTCCCCTTCTAGGTCCTACCAGTTAACGTTTCCCAGGGATCTGAAATGTACAGCCAGAGTGACACAGAGAAGCAAAGGGTGGCAGGACGTCTCCCACCAGGGGCTATGTGGCCACAGGCTCTCATTCTGCTTCTGGCCCTGAAGGTTTTCAGAGGCCACACTCCAGGCCTCAGGGACCCCACCCTGAGAAGCAGCAGCTGTGAGCAGGGACCGGTCAGTCAGAAGCCACACACAAAAAGGAATCTCTCAAGTGGCAATTCCCCCAGAGTGAACCCTAAGCAGAGGCAGGAGAGGATAACATGAGGGATGGGGACAGAGTGCGCTTTCTCTGGAAAGGGAGACTTTAATACCCCTGCTGGGAGCTTTAAAAAATTGAAGCCCTGCCTGTAATATCAGCACTTAGAAAGGCCAAGGCAGGAGGATCACTTGAGCCCATGAGTTTAATACCAACCTGGGCAATATAGTGAGACCTCGTCTGTATCAAAAAAAAAAAAAAAATTTTTTTTAAGGTAGCCAAGCATGGTGGCACATGCCTGCAGTCCCAGCTACTTGGGAGGCTGGGGTGGGAGCACTGCTTGAGCCTGGTAGGTGGAGGCTACTGTGAGCCAAGATCATGCCATTGCACTCCAGCCTGTGCAACAGAGTGAGATACCCTGGCTCTAACTAACTAACTAACCTAACTAACTAACTGGAAACATAGAAACGTGTTAAACAGGAGACATTCTTCCCTTTCCTTCAAAGAACAGCCATCACTGGGCCCCTCTCCCCTTGAAAACTCAGAACTGGCAGAAGCAGCTAACAAGCAACCCAGAGTCCAGGTAAGAAAAGAGACAGAAAGAGAAGCGGTCAGACATCAGGCGGCTGCCTCTCTGAGCCCCCCTGGAACCACGGTCCACATGCCAGCCCATTAATGAAATAATGAAAACTACTCACATCTAACAGGAGATTAGACATCCAGATAAAAGAGGGTCAAATATCCCCAAACAATGCAATGCAAAGGGTCTTTGCCATGGCAAACTGTAATCAGACTATTTAAAGTCAATGTGAAGATGCAAATTCTAAAACCACCAAGAGAAAAGGATCTAGTCACCTATAAAGCAAACCCCATCAGATGAAGTGCAGATTTCACAGCCCAGCAAATAGAAAACATGTGCTTAAAGGCATAAGAGGCAGAGAAGAACAAGGCTGGAGACAGGCAAGGCCAGCATTCCCCTCAAGATGACAGCCAATCCTGGAAGAGGAGGCTGAGAGACAGAGCAGTGGGGTTTTTTTCTTTCTTTCTTTCTTTTTTTTTTTTTGAGACGGAGTCTCACTCTGTCACCCAGGCTGGAGTGCAGTGGTGCGATCTCGGCTCACTGCAAGTTCCGCCTCCTGGGTTCACGCCATTCTCCTGCCTCAGCCTCCCGAATAGCTGGGACTACAGGTGCCCACTACCATGCCCAGCTAATTTGTCATATTTTCAGTAGAGACGGGGTTTCACCATGTTAGGATGGTCTCAATCTCCTGACCTTGTGATCCACCCAACTCGGCCTCCCAAAGTACTGGGATTACAGGTGTGAGCCACCATGCCCAGCTGATTCTTTTTCTCTTCTTCCCTTTTTTTTTTTTTTTTTTTTTTTTGCTGAGACAGGGTCGCTATTACTTTTAATGGCAAAAACCACACTTACTTTTGTACCAACCTAATATATTGCTCAGGGTGGTCTCAAATTCCTGGCCTGAAGTAATCCTCCTACTTCAGTCTCCTGAGTAGCTGGGACTATAGGCGTGAGCCACCACACCTGGTCTAGAGCAGTGCTGTTGACCTATTCACGTGGCTGAGGGAGGCAATGCCATAATGCCCCACACGTGGGGTGCAGGTTTCTTACTCTAGGAGTGACAGTCAACCAGAAATAGAGCAGCCCTCAGGAGCACTGGATCCAGCTTCAGATCATCTCAGCCGCTCAAATGCATAAGGGAGATCCCAGAATTTCAGACTTCTAGGCCTCATGTTATTTTATTTTTATTTATTTATTTGAGACAGCATCTCACTCTGTTGCCCAGGTTGGAGTGCAGTCTCAGGATCATGGCTCACTGCAGCGTCGATCACCTTGGTTCAAGTGAGACTCCCACCTCAGCATCCCAAACACCTGGGACTACAGGCACACACTACCACGCCTAGCTAGTTTTTTATTTTTTGTAGAGATGGGGTTTCACCATGTTGCGCAGGCTGATTTTGAACTTCTAGGCTCAAGCAATCTGCCTGCCTCAGCCTCCCAAAGTGATGAGATTACAAGCATGAGCCATCGTGCTGGGGCTGGAAATTATTTTTAAAAATTATTTCTTGCTGGGTACAGTGGCTCACGCCTGTAATCCCAGCACTTTGGGAGGCTGAGGCAGGCAGATCATGAGGTCAGGAGTTCGAGACCAGCCTGACCAACATGGTGAAACCCCATCTCTACTAAAAATACAAAAATTAGCCAGGCATGCTGGCACCTGCCTGTAATCCCAGCTAGTCGGGAGGCGGAGGTAGGAGAGTTGAACCCTGGGATGTGGAGGTTGCGGTGAGCCGAGATCATGTCATTGCACTCCAGCCTGGGAACAGAGCGAGACTCCATCTCAAAAAAAAAATTATTTCTAACAATTTTTATACACACCCTCCATTGCCAAATTAAAAACAACCAAGCAAACAAGGAAATAAGACAGCAGGAACAAAGCTCAAGAGAAAGCAGAGA